GCCGGGAGCAGCCACTGCACTCCAGTCTGGGCGACAGAGTGAGACTCCAACTCAAAAAAAAAAAAAGTTTGACTTCTGAGTCCGCTCAAGTTTTGCCATGGAGTGCCTGATGTGAGGCAGTGAAAGAAAGTGAGATATCAAGGTTGATTCTAAATTTTTCAGATATGAAAGTTTACATGAGGCATAGATTTCAGAGGGAAGATAAAGAATTGGATTTTGGTCATGTTATGTTTGAGATGTCCTAGAGACTGACAAATTTAGATGCCAAATGGACCACTAAACGTGATTATGGAGTTATGTCAGGTACAGGCTGGAGAAATCCAAGGGGTAGAGGCTTATGTGTGGACACTGCATGCAGCTGTGGGTTCTAAGCAGGGAGTAGATCTAGGACAAAAGTGAAGCATAGATATGACAGATGTAGGATAAGAGTAGGGCTTGGGTTTATGTTGATTTACCTCTCTACAGCTCACCAGGTTTTTGTGGCCATCCTTCTTGTGGGTTGTCAGTTTGGTGGAGTAGCAGGGTTAGAAAGGGTTAGCACCAGCTGAGTTCCCAAGCCAAAGGTGGGATTCAGTGGGTCTAGATTTGTGTTGGGAAGAGGACGCTGTGACTGGTGAGGGAACAATATATGTGAAGACAGAGGTAGAAGAAGGTAGAGATATTTAAGACCTGCTTATGGTTCTGGGCAGCTGAGTGTTGAAGCAACAGGACAAGGAGAGGAGGAATTGACTGGAAGGTTTATGGCTGCCTCTGGCAATGAGGTTTTTGGAGATCTGCAGCAGGCCTGCCAGAATTGGATCCTTGTTGCCTTTGTCAGGTATGCTATGTGCAGAGCAAGATGTGGGAATGCTAGGGAAATGCCTATGGTGTCAACAGGGAGAGGAGTGGTTATAGTAGTAGAGAGAGGTAGAACTATAAGAATGGTGTGGTCTGAAGAGTGACATGTACAAGGTGTGAACTGGTGGGCCCAGGGTCCTGGTACTAGAGGTAAGAAAGAAAGGAGAAGCCGGGCTCGGTGGCTCAGCCTATAATCCTGCACCTTTGGGAGGCTGAGGTGAGTGGATTGCCTAAGCCCGCGGATTCGAGACCCGCCTGGGCAGCGAGACCTCATCTCCACAATAAATCAAAAAATCAGCCGAGCATGGTAGTGCGTGCCTGTAATTCCAGCTACTCGGAAGGCTGAGGCGGAAGGATTGCCAGAGCCCAGCGGGTCGAGGCTGCGGTGACCGGGAGTGGCTACTGCACTCCAGTCTGGGCAGCAGAGTGAGACTTCAACTCAAAAAAAAAGAGAGAAAGGAGAACCCCAATTTTCTTATGTTTGGTAGATGTGATCTGGGAGAGACAAGGGAAAATAGCTAGCAGGAAAGAAGCGGCAGTGTCCTTCTGCCCACCTACCTTTAGGTTGGGTTGGCCTGGATATGGAGACCAAAGGGACTATGAGGAGAGAGGGGCACCAGTGGTACCAGGACATGTTATCTCCTCTTTGGTGGGGCCCTGAGGAGGAAGATAAACTGTGGATGGATAAGGAGAATGAACTGAGAAAATCATGAGAAGAAGAAATGTCAATGGTATATGTGGCAGGACTCTTAGTCACAGGACAAGGGCCTGGATATGTTCATTTGACCATTTTTTGTGTTTATTTTTTAGCCCACCTGTTGGCCCCCATCATTGAAGAGCCTGGTGACCTTTGAAGATGTGGCTGTGCGTTTCTCCCAAGAGGAGTGGGAGCTCCTTGATGCAGCCCAGAGGCACCTGTACCACAGTGTAATGCTGGAGAACTTTGAGCTCATGACCTCACTTGGTAAGGCCCTTATGTCTCCTGCCCCAGCATGGTGATGGCCAGCTTATGCGGTATGCATTTTCCCCAAGGAAAGTTCTATACATCCCAAAGCTGGATCATGGGAACTGCTTCCTTCCCAGGTTTCCTGTTATAGATATTGTAGGTTCTGGGACTCTGTGTACTTCTCCTTTCTCTCCCTAAGCATCTCCATGAGCATAGCTGTTGCCCAGGAGTCTTGTTGGGGCAAAGATTTTGGGGATCAGGCATCTCTGCCTAACTGATGCCACTGAGCTTGACCAGTCCCTGGCTGAGTGACCCAGTATAAGGCCATGCCCAAGTTCTAACCCATTCCCCCATAAGACATTCTTAAAAACAGCTTTAGACTGGGTGTGGTGGCTCATGCCTGTAATCCCAGCACTTTGGGAGGCTGAGTTAAGAGGATTGCCTGAGCCCATGGGTTCGAGACCAGCCTGGGCAACTTGGTGAGACCTCATCTCTACAATAAATCAAAAAATTAGCCGTGAGTGGTGGCATGCGCCTGTAGTTCCAGCTGCTTGGAAGTCTGAGGTGAAAGGATCACCAGAGCCCAGCAGGTTGAGGCTGCGGTGGCCATGAGCACACCACTACACTCCAGCCTGGGCGACAGAGTGAGACTCCAACTCAAAAAAATAAATAAAATAAAATAAAAACAGCTTTAATAAGATAAACCATAAAGTTCACGTTTTTAAAGTATACAGTTCAAGTTCAGTAGTTTTTAATATATTTTCATTGTGTAACCATCGCTCTTAATTTTAGAGTGTTTTTATCACCTAAAGAGAAACTGTATCCATTAGCAGTCCCTCCCCATATTCCCTTATCCCTTTCTCCCCCGCCCCAGGAAACCACTAATTTACTTTCTAACTATATAGATTTACCTATTCTAGACATTTTATATAAGTGGAATCATACCATATATATTCTTCTGTGACTGGCTTTTGCTTAGCATAATGTTTTTCAGGTTCATCCATGTTGTAACATTTATCAATATTTCATTCCTATTTATAGCCAGATAATATTCCATATATAGGTATACTATAGTTTGTTTATCCATTTATCAGTTGATAGGCATTTGGCTTGTTTCCACTTACTAGCTGTTATAAAAAATGCTGCTATTAAGCTAAGTGTAGTGGTGCCAGGGACTGGTCAAGCTCAGAGGCAGGTGTTCAAGACCAGCCTGGGCAACAAAGTGAGACCACATCTCAATTTTTTTTAATGCTGCTATGAATATTCTTTTTTTTTTTTTTTTTTTTGAGTTGGAGTCTCACTCGGTCACCCAGACTGGAGTGCAGTGGCTGCTCCCGGCCACCACAGCCTTGACCCACTGGGCTCCAACGATCCTTCCGCCTCAGGCTTCCAAGTAGTTGGAACTACAGGCACGCACTACCACGCCTGCCTCATTTTTTTTTTTTTAATTGTAGAGTTGAGGTCTCACCAAGTTGCCCAGGTGGGTCTTGAACCCGTGGGCTCAGGCAATCCACTCACCTCAGCCTCCCAAAGGCGCGGGATTATAGGCTGAGCCACCGAGCCCGGCTATGAATATTCTTTTACAAGTTTGCGTGTGGCTATGTTTTAGTTCTTTTTTGTAGCTATGCAGGAGCAGAATTGCCAAACTGTTTTTCAAATTGGGTGAACCATTTTATAATTCCATCTGTAGTGTATGCATCCAGTTTTTCTACTTCATCATCAACATTTGTTGAGTTTTTTTTTTTAAGCTATCCTAGTGGGTATGAAATTAATCTCATTATGGTTTTAAAATGATGTTAAAATCGTTGCTTGTGTTTATTGGCATTTGTGTATATATCTTTTGGGGGTAAATGTCTATTCAAGTTATTTGACCAATTTCTGTGTCCTTGCTTCTGGTGAAGCCTCCTTACTCTGGCTGGGCTGCGGCCTGTCCTACATAGTGGGCCCTTCACCCTGCTTATGGCCCCCTTGGCCTGTCAGCAATCCCTTGGACCCATTCCTGGTGTGAATTCCTTTGTGATACTTTTTTTTTTCGAGTCAGAGTTTCGCTCTGTCACCCAGGCTGGAGTGCAGTGGCACACTCATGGCCACTGCAACCTCAACCTGCTGGACTCAGGCTATACTTCTCCCTCAGCCTTCCAAGTAGCTGGGATTACAGGCATGAGCCAACACACCTGGCTCTTTGTGACACTTTTCTAATGAAGTCACCCTTTCCCATCAAGTGAAATACTTAGTTAACTGGCATTTCTCTCCTTTCAGGCTGTTGGCAAGGAGTGGAGGGTGAGGAGGCTCATCCTAAGCAGAATGTTTTTGTAGAAGGGGTGTCACAGGTCAGGATCCCCAGCGCACATCCTTCCATCCAGAAGACTAACTCCTGTGACATGTGTGGGCCATTCTTGAAAGACATTTTGCACCTGGCTGAGCATCAGGGAACACACCCTGAAGAAAAACCCTATACATGTGGAGCATGTGGGAAAGACTTTTGGTTCAATGGAAACCTTCACCAGCACCAGAAGGACTGTAGTAGAGAGAAACCCTTTAGATCATACAAGGACAGGGACTCATTTATGAAGAGCTCTAAAGTCCACCTGTCAGAGAAGTCCTTCGCTTGGGGGGAAGGTGGGAAGGCCATCTTAGACAATCATTACCTCCTCCAGTATCAGGCTATTGACAGTGGGAGGAAGCCATATTCCAGTCTTGGGACACTCCCAGAAGTCCATACCACACAGAAACTCTTCAAGTGCTGCTACTATGGAAAAGCCTTCCTGAAGAGCTCCACCATCCTCAATCATCTGCGTACTCACTCTCACTCAGAAGAGATACCATTTAGATGCCCAACAGATGGAAATTTCTTAGAGGAGAAATCAACTCTTGTTAATAAAAAATTTCCCACTGAAGAAATACCCCATGTGTGTAAAGAGTGTGGGAAGGTCTTTAGTCATCCATCAAAACTGAGGAAGCACCAGAAATTTCACACTTTAGTAAAATATTATGAGTGCAGTGAATGTTGGAAAACGTTCAGCCACAAACTCACACTTGTTCATCATCAGAGAATCACACAGGAGAAAAACCTTATAAGTGCAGTGAATGTGGGAAAGCCTTCAGTAACAGGTCACACCTCATTCGGCATGGGAATGTTCACACTGGAGAAAGGCCTTTTGAGTGCCTCAAATGTGGAAGAGCCTTCAGCCAAAGCTCCAATTTCCTTCGGCACCAGAAAGTTCACACCCAAGTACGACCTTATGAATGCAATCAATGTGATAAATCCTTCAGCCGAAGCTCTGCTCTTATTCAGCACTGGAGAGTTCACTCTGGAGAAAGACCTTATGAGTGCAGTGACTGTGGAAGAACTTTTAACAATAACTCCAACCTTGCTCAACACCAGAAAGTTCACACTGGAGAACGACCTTTTGAGTGCAGTGAATGTGGAAGAGACTTCAGCCAAAGTTCTCACCTCCTTCGACATCAGAAAGTTCACACTGGCGAACGGCCTTTTGAGTGCAGTGAATGTGGCAAAGCTTTCAGCAATTGCTCCACCCTCATTCAGCACCAGAAAGTACACAGTGGGCAAAGGCCTTATGAATGCAGTGAGTGTAGAAAAGCCTTCAGCCGCAGCTCCAGCCTGATTCAGCACTGGAGAATTCACACTGGAGAAAGACCTTATGAATATAGTAAGTGTGGGAAAGCCTTTGCTCACAGCTCTAGTCTCATTGAGCATTGGAGAGTTCACACAAAAGAACGGCCTTATGAGTGCAATGAATGTGGGAAATTCTTTAGCCAAAACTCCATTCTCATTAAACATCAGAAAGTCCACACTGGAGAAAGGCCTTATAAGTGCAGTGAATGTGGGAAATTATTTAGCCGAAAGTCCAGCCTCATTTATCACTGGAGAATTCACACTGGAGAAAGACCATATGAATGCAGTGAGTGTGGGAGAGCCTTCAGCAGTAACTCCCACCTGGTTCGTCACCGTAGAATTCACACACAAGAAAGGCCCTATGATTGCATCCAGTGTGGAAAAGCCTTTAGTGAAAGATCCACACTTGTTCGACACCAGAGAGTTCACACCAGAGAAAGGACTTATGAATGCAGCTAATGCAGGAAAATATTCAGCTGTCTTTGTAACCTTGCTCAGCATAAAAGGATTCATACTTGAGTGGAAACTTATGGAAGTGGTTCTTGTTAGAAAATCCTCAGATGAGTCACACTTCATGCAGCAGAATCTCCACCCCCGATAAATTATCTAAATGTACTACTGGCCGGGCGCCGTAGCACTTTGGGAGGTTGAGGTGAGAGGATCGCCTGAGCCCACAGGTTCGAGACCAGTCTGGGTAACTTGGTGAGACCTTATCTCTACAATAAATCAAAAAATTAGCCGGGCATGGTAGCACGTGCCTGTAGTTCCAGTTACTTGGAAGACTGAGATGGAAGGATTGCCTGAACCCAGTAGATCAAGGCTGCGGCAGCCGTCAACGTGCCACTGCACTCCAGTCTGGGCGACAGAGTGAGACTCCAACTAAAAAAATAAGTAAATAAATAAAGAAATGTACCACTAATGTGGAAAAGCTTTCAAAAATTACTCTGTCCTTTCTGACAAGATTTGTGCCCACACACCTTGGCAGAACCATCTCACCACTAAAACATATATCCTGCCTGGATTCAAATATTTGCAGCATTCCTTTCTTTTTGCATGGGGAAAGCAGCTCCCTGTTCCTCTCTTCTTTCCTGGAGGGAATCAGGATTGTCCTTAGCCCATTGGAATGGCTTAATTTCCATTGCCTGTGAGAGGGCTAGGCATGCTAGTTCATGCTGGTCAAGGGGCCTTGAGGGGAATCCAGTTTGAGCTTCTAAGGAAGAAGTAAATTCCTCATGAATGTGGTCAAATCTGCATGAAACTTCTATGATGTGTCCAGTGAGCCCACAAATCACCCTCCACAGGAACCATCTACCTTCTCTGCTTTATACTGTATAGTAATAAAGACCTTATTGATCAGATTACCTTTACTTTTAGGGGACTGTTGGGATAGGTTGAGAAAAGGAATGGGTAGAGTATGGAATGTCTTTCAGGGGCACAGTGGAAAGGCAGGGAGTCAGTCTGTCCTATTATAGCCTACTTTGTATTTTTGTGTGAAGGACTGGGAAAGATTGGAAGGCTCTGGAGTAAACATAGTGTCCTATGTTCCAGTTCCCTGAGGGCCCAGAGCTTACTATGAGGGAAAATAAACTGATCTGCAACTCTATAGCGATCTGTTGGGTTAAGAGGCCGATCTTTCATTCCTCGGGAGAATTCTGGGTTTCCCCAACTGCCTGAGGAGAAGCTGTCTTCTGGTTCCTAATAAGGAGACATGACTCTAGGAGGCCAGTAGGCAGGGTCACCAAGGCGAAGACCTAGGGGGCCCAGTGGGTACTATATGTGGATAGAAAAACATTGGGTATGGAGTAATAAACAGAGAATAGGGGAGACTGGTAAACTATAGGGTTCATGCCATCTTGCACAGAGGAGCAGCCATATTTCTTCATTAGCTATGGCTGTACAAGGTGAGGGTATACAACTCAAGAGCTGCAGACTTGTGTATCTCCAATGACGAGGCCACAGTCAAAGCAAGTAAATGCAATTTGTATGCATTCACCTCACCTCTCTGAACTGCATCTTGGCATCCATCACCCCACCCCCACCCCTCAGGCAGGAGCTTAGGGCTGACAGAAGTGATATCCTGTAGTCAGGAAAGTGGTGTTTGTGACCTGGCCAGGGTTTCTGGTCACTAACACTCTGCCTTCATGGCTTCACAGTCTTGCTGCCCAACAGAGTCGGCACAGGGAGATGGGATTTAACACACAGTTTACAGACATGGTATTTCAGAAGGTGCTTGAGATTCAGAATCTTGTAGAAGCTGGTGTTTGGTGTATATTAAAAACTTAATTACCAACTAAGCTTAGTATAATCTACATGTTAGCTGTTGCTATTTACTTGTCTGTACCCTCTCCAATCAAGGGAGTACTCATGGGATAACTGGCTGGGATGGGAACAGAAGTTCCCATGAAAAAGCCTGGCCAGGCGCATTGGTGCATACTTGTAGTCCTAGCTACACAGGAGGCTAAGGTGAAAATCTTTTTTTTTTGTGTTGGAGTCTCACTCTGTCGCCCAGACTGGAGGGCAGTGGCCGCTCCCGGCCACCGCAGCCTTGACCTGCTGGGCTCCGGCGATCCTTCCGCCTCAGCCTTCCAAGTAGCTGGAACTACAGGCATGCGCTAACACGCCCGGCTAATTTTTTATTTATTGTAGAGATGAGGTCTCGCCAAGTTGCCCAGGTGGGTCTCAAACACGCGGGCTCAGACAATCCACTCACCTCAGCGTGGGATTACAGGCTGAGCCACTGAGCCCGGCAGTGAAAATCTCTTGAGCCAGGAGTCTGAGTCCATCCTAGGCAACATAGTGAGACTCCCATCTCTTGAAAGAAAAGAGGGATCACTACTGAATAGTGGTGTCAATAGCCACTGCTGCTGTCACTTCTGTCCCAGGTGCCTCTGCTTTCCCTTGCCCATGTGGATTTCACCCAACAGGTGTTCACTCGAGGGGTACATGGCAGGACTAGTACTCCATGACTTGGCATTCCTCATCCTGACCATGGCACCCTTGGCCGGCCAAAGACCCTGTGGACTCTCCTGGCTGAACATTAGGCAATAAGCCCTAGGTAGAAACCGCACATGAGGGAGTGGATCAAATTTTTACCAGTATCAAGACTATTAATGATGGAGACAACCTTTTCAGATGTGGCAAAGTGCAGATGTTCATGCATAGCAGAATTCACAAGTGAGAGGACCCCATCCCAGACTGGGCATTTGTGTAAGCTTTCCAGAGTAACTATCCTCTTTCTTTTTTTTTTTTTTTTTGAGTTGAAGTCTCACTGTTGTTGCCCAAGCTGGAGTGCAGTGGCACACTCATGGCCACCGCAGCCTCGACCTGCTGGGCTTAGGCGATCCTTCCTCCTCAGCCTTTCAAGTAGTTGAAAGAGATGCATGCCACCACACACAGCTAGTGTGTGTGTGTGTGTGTGTGTGTGTGTGTGTGTGTGTGTATGTGTGTGTGTGTGTTTGTGTGTGTGTGAATGAGTGATTTATTGTACAGATGGGGGTCTCACCAAGTTGCCCAGGCTGGTCTCGAACCCCCAGACTCAGGCATTCCTCTCACCTTGGCCTCCCAAGGTGCTGAGATTGCAGGCTAAACCACCATGCCCAGCCAACTACCCTCTTTTAGCATTGGAGTACCCAGAGCAACGAGAAGCCCAAAAGTATGTAGGAAGTTCTTCCCTTCTCCACCACCCAAGTATCCATAGCACAGAGATGCTACAGTGAAGAGCTGAATGGGAAGACATCGCCACCAAGCTCCAGTCTCAACCACCAAGCAGGCCATGTTAGGCAGAAACCCTTCAAGAGCAGTAGCTGTGGGGATGAACTTGTGATGATTTTTGCCATCTTCAGCTACTTGAAAACTCACACTGAAGAGAGATTCTTTAAACATTCGGTATAAAGAAAGGCCCTTCAAAGTCAGGTGCAGTGGATCATGCCTATAATCCCAGCTCCTTGGGAGGCAGAAGTGAGAGGACTGCCTGAGTCCAGGGGTTCAAGACCAGCTTGGACAAGTTGGCGAGACTTCATCTCAAGAAAAAAAAAATTAGCCAGGCTGGTGGCATGCACCTGTAGTTCCAGCTACTTGGAAGGCTGAGGTGGAAGGATTGCCTGAGCCCAGCAGGTTGAGGCTGCAGTGGCTGTGAGCGCCACTGCACTCCAGCCTGGGTGACAGTGAGATTTTGACTCAAAACAAGCAAACAAAAAACAACAGGCTGGGCGCAGTGGCTCAAGTCAGTAATCCCAGCACTTTGGAAGGCTGAGGTGAGAGGAATACATGAGACCAGGAATTCAAGACCAGCCTGAGCAACTTGATGAGACCGCGTCTCTACAATAAATTACACACACACACACACACACACACACACACACACAGACTAGCTGGGCGTGGTGGCGTGTGTCTTTAGTTCCAGCTGCTTGAAGGCTGAGGCGGAAGGATCACCTAAGCCCAGCAGGTCAAGGCTGCCGTGGCCATTAGCATGCCACTGCACTCCAGAGACTCGACTCAGAAAACAAAACAAAACAACAACAACAAAACACCCTCAGAAGAAATTAACCCTTACCTATTAACCTTACCAAAAAATTCACAGTAGAGATACATTCCTCATGTGTTAGGAATGCAGGAAGTTTTTCTCTCCTATGTAAGAAAGCAATAGAAAGTTCCTATGGGAAAAAGGATTTACGAGTATAGTGAAAAGAGGAAGGCCTTCAGCCATAGACACTTCTCTGTTTTTTAATCACCAGAGAATTCACAACAGGACAACAAATGTGGGAAAGCCACAGCTCCAGTAATCCTAGGCAGCATTATATCATTGCTATTTGCTGTTGCAGAAGCCATTTGCATCTGTTGTCACTGTGTAACAAGTTACCCAAAACTTAGTGGCTTGAACAATATTAATTATCTCACAGTTTCTATAAGTCAGGAATCTGGGTTCAGCTTAGCTGACTTCTCTGCTTTAGGATTTTTCACAAGTCTGACATTAAGGAGTCAGTTGGGAGTGTGATAATCTGAAGGATTGGGGAAGGATCTGCTTCCAAACTCACTCATGTAGTTGGCATTATTCAGTTCTTTGTGGACTGTTTGACTCAGGGCCTCTCTGCCTGTTGGTCAGAGACCACCTCCAGTTCTCTGCCACATGGGCTTCCCTAAAATGGCAACTTGCTTTATCAAAGCTTGCAAACTGAGAATGCAATAGAGAATGCCAACAAGTTGATTGTTTATAACCTAATCACAGAAGTGATATTCTGTCACCTTTGCTATATCCTGTTTGTTAGAAGAAAGTCACGTTGTCCATCCCACAGTCAAGGGGATGTGGTTTATACAAGGGCATGAACACCAGAGGGCAGAGACCATTGGGAGCCATAACTGAAGCTGCCTACCAAACCATCTCATCTTTACTAGCTAGCAAGACCCCCATGTGTCAGTCTCTCCCCCTGTGCTCAGGGAAGGCATACTATTCCCCTTTTTCCACACGCCAGAGGGAATTATGTTGCATCTGAGCCCTTTGAGGGACTCTTGTTTTCTTCCCCATTGATGGCTTTACATGCGGGTATGACATTACTTTGGCCAGGAAGATATTAGCTGGTGTCTTCTATGACTTTCCAGAAAAGGTTTCTCATCTTTGTGGACATTTTTTTTTTTTTTTTGAGTTGGAGTCTCACTCGGTCGCCAGCCTGGAGTGCAGTGGCCACTCCCGGCCACCGCAGC